TAAAGCAACATGATGAGAGTGAGGCTCGCGATTGAGCTCGACGAGCATAGTGGAGACCGAGCGCGTAATCGAATATAGATGAGGCGACTGATCGTTCGAACATTCTGGGTAATAATGATCGGCTCCGCTGTTGCCTCCGTCGGCCATCGTTCCGAGCATAGTTGTCTCCGTGGCTCTCGACGTCGATGGAGTGCACAATTAGCCTTCGAGCGACAATGGAACATCGCCGCAGAAAGAATTCGAAAACAAAATCGACAGATCTCAGCTCGTGTACGACATTACTTCACGAACTCATTCCGACCACGAAAATTATGCCGAGTTCGAACGATAAGGGGGTTGAAAGGTACATGAGTTGATTCGCTGCTCCCGGCATCTACGATCTGAGGGCGTCGGCATTTCCCATGTTTGATCGCTCAGCAAAGATTCAGCCGAGAGAGGAATTAGAAGGATGCTTCTAGGTCTGACAGACCGAGATTCGTAGGGCAGCGAGTCCAGGTTCCACCCTGGGCATCGTCAGGCCTTGCCACGCCTCTGTCGACACGAATATCGAGAAATGCAAAACGTCGAACGAGTTGTGCAGTGTCACCGCACGGCCCAGAGAGCCTCAGTATATTCTCGCCGGCCATTATCGAGAAGAATCGTATGCGATGTGAAACATAACCGGGAAGCTCTTTGGAGTGCTCTTGATTCATTGTCCGTCGGAGGGATCGAGCAGAACAATCTACGAGCCTCTGGGTTTTCGAACTTATTCCGGAGGCTCGGAAGACTTCCCTTTTCATTCGATGACGGAAACGGAAATCCTTGAAACGAGAACATCATCAAGATATAGTTTCGCATGATTCATCGGAGCCCCGGTCGCAAGGCCGGCCCATCCTGAACGCCGGACCTCACAGGATACAGGCTCGTGATTCGGAGCGAGTCGTTAAGTTCGGTCGTTTTGCCGCGAGGGGAACAAGTTGCAAGAGAGCTTGCCGCCGTCGAAGTACCGGCCTGAGCAACCTGTCTTGAGTAAGAGGAGGGCCAAAACACAGAGAGAGGATCAGAAGAAAGAGTCTCTGCTGCAGCCGCCACCACCGGCATCGTCACCACTGTTGCTTCTTTTGCTTCTAGTACACGGATTCCGAGCGGTTTTGTCTCGCGCTCAGCCCTCTCGGCATAACCCATCGTGGCCGCTATGGCTTCAAAAGCTGCTGCTGCTGCTGCCGCCGCCGCTGCCGATTCTAGCCTGTTCTGTGTAGTTCCTCTATTCGAACTGTTCCTTTGAGCAACGGCCACTACCACAGGCTTGAACTGAGAGCGAGACCGAGTAGGACATAACACACTCTCGGGCACGCACTCACACTCTGCACAGTCAGTTCGTTGGCTGCTAGCTTCTTGGCCTGTCTTTCTGTCTGTCGAATATCAACCTGCTTTTGGGTGGGGCTGTCTCTCAATTTTCCTGATTGCCTTCCGTTATTGGTGCGAGTCAAACGTTGTTCAAGTACCCAGGGCAGAGCATCCTGACCTGACGCCGGCGGAGACGATCACGACGAAGACGAAGGCGACGTAACAAGAACAACAATGGCATCCAATAATGTTGCGAGTGGGGCAGATTGTAAGGACCGAAGCTAGGAAAAAGGCCGGATGGGTATAATGGGAATCGTAGACTCAATTTGGTCGATCCAGCCCTTTCGGTCGCCTGAGTCGATGATCCACGTACTCGTTGCTTGTGGAGGAACTGGGTGCGACCTTCAACGCCGCCGACGCTCGGACCCGGACGGAGTCAATGACGAAAATTCAAGCAAACTTGATGCTCACGCACGCTCGAACCCGCCTGCACTTCCGCCAGTCAGCCTGCCTTCCGCCGTCATCGTCGACAGCATAAGCGACAACAAGGGCGATTATCACTAGCATCAGGGATGCTATGCTATGTGAAACTGGTTTAATCTGAGCTACGGTTTTCTCGCCAGAATACCAAACCCCAAATGGAATCACAGTCGTCGTTGGACGAACTTGAATGGAATGTCGCCGTTGACTCACGCTCGCTCAGCTTCATGTGGCTTATGGAAATCGAGCTTAGAATCGCAGGATGGGAGCGGTCGGATCCCAGAAATGGATTCTGAGGAAAGCCGCAGGATCGCATTAGAATCTTCAATCGTATCATCGCCGTATCTTCATCGTATCAGAAATCATAATGACCAGGGTTCTAGTGATCTCGATCTGAAATGGGTCCCTTTCCAGACCCAGGGTAATTATTTCGTTCATCGCACTCGTCATGTAGCCTCGACATTGGCCTACCGCAGACAATCGTCGCTCCGGAGTGTTAAAGGAAACGCTGGATTTCCCAATCCGGAAAGGCACACGAGCAGCGCTCGCTCGACGGGCTCCATCCGGCGCGGCGTGCGAGCGTTTCCAGTGCACCTTCCGCTTCTAGCCATTGCATGGTGTTGACAGGAAAAGCGATCCGTATCTGCGGGTTCAGCTCTCCGAGCGACGGTTGAAATTATCGATCTGTTTTCATCGATCACTCTCTGTACACTCATCTGATTATTATTATTTCTGTACATAGACCAGTCCTTCCGATACCGGGTGGGTATACAGCGAGAGCTGCGGGCTCAATGAAAAACTCCGAGCGTGTAGTCCCATTTTGAAAACAGCATGGACCGCATGATGTAATTGTTGAGGAATTCTCATTCGAGCGCAAAGTGTAACTCCCTCAAATCGCTCTTCTAGTTCAGCTGATCCCGATAATTAATCAGCACGACTAATACCCTTCGCCCACTCTGGAAGATTTTCGAAAACAAAAACAGACATTGATCCTAAGCTCAGCGACTCGCAGCCTGGACGATGGCAGCCTCCAGATAGTAATTTAATGATCCCATTAGAGACGATTAAGAAATATAGCGATAAACTGCCATCGTGGAACGGCTCTTAATTTTTCTTCCGCCGCTGTACCCAGGAGGAAACAACTCCCTGAGCTGCGATGGAGAGCGCAATGCGCGGGATTCCGTCCAAGAACCCTAATTACCCATCTCGATATCCACGATTCCATGAAAGCAGTGGAAGCGAAAATAAAGCCGACCCGATCAATGCCGGACACCCGATTCACCTAACTAGAGCATGCATTGCCCGCTATTCAATGTGCTTAGCGAGAGGATTTGTCCCGGACGGCGGCAGGAGACTCATTATCATCGAGTCTTGAACAAATTTCAGACCGAGCAGGGAATACGTTCTGGTGTCGCAGGCCAACGACTGTGTTTCTTGCAGCAGCCGCCGCCGCAGCCCTCGCGGCTTCGAGCCTTACTCTTCTTTACTTCTCGCTTCAGAGCTCGGCCCTCCTTCTCTGCTGGGCCACACTGCTGACTGTTTTCGAACGATTTGATGTTCTTTGTCATTCATCCGAAGGAGCTGCTCGAGACGGCTAGTCATAGGTTTCAAAACAAGATTGTAGGGATGGAGACTATTGATTACGAATCCTGCGTCGAGTCGTCGGAGAGAGAACGGTATTCCCGAGCTCGGTCCGAGGGACTAAAAACTCGGAAAGGCTAGCTTAGAGGCGAGTTCGAATGTCTTGGCGGAATTCGAGAAGGGGCAGCGAGAAGGGGCTCGTGAAGTAATTTTGGCAATCAGAAGTTCCTGAACTTGAGGATTGCGGAGCAAGCCTGGCAACTATTTTGCTTGTGATGAGGAGCCACCGTGGATGGGATTTCCTCTCAGCTATCACTTACGGAAATTGGCGCACAGACCGGAGGAAGTAACGACTCGTGTCGGTAGTTTTAAAGAATTTATTTACATCAGATTTTGCATCGCAACGGAGACGATGCAGCCGGAAGAGACTTGAGCTACGTATCTAGCTTCCTAGTACCTAGCGGCTTTGAATTTCTCAGAGAGTTGCTTAAATAGGTAAAAGAAGAAATCAAAAATCGTTGACGATTGTGGTCGACGACCTGGAGGTATCTCCTTTCGGATCGCTTCCCCTCGAAAACGACCCATAATTGGAACGTGAACCGTTGATGATCGATTCGATCCTCGAGACTAACAAATCCCAGTTGTCAACGACGACGAGTAGAACGTGGCGGAACGCTTGCTTGGGATCAGGCGACTTCGATCCGCTTTTACGCACTTTGTTTTGGACGGCCTCCCGCTTGTCCCCTGACTCCAGCTGAATTATCGCCGGATGTGATTCTCCCAAATCGACGATGGATAAGCGAGTCGAGTTTTGCAGTCGCTCCGCGGAGCAGACAGCCAATCTGGAGGAACTCAGAACGAAAGCGACCGAGCCGTCGACCATCCAATCATCCACACCACTCATCCATCCATCTACGGACGAACGACCTTCGCCCATGAGATCCGATCGCCGCCGATTCGAACTAGAGCGCCGACGATTGACTAAAATTCGGAGACAATTACCGGCAGCGAGAGGAAGGCGTTCCGCGGAGTTTGTCCTCCAAACACTGGAAATCGCCTCTACGGAAATTTCTTCGTATTGACCAGATCAAGTGGTTGGCAGATCGTAGCCGTAGGATGTGAGCAATCAGCAGAGATTCGCTCAGAATCAGGGGAACAGATCTTCAAGACATTATGCCGACAGGGGCCACCCGAGAATTCGCACCGACAGACCCAGACGGAAAAAACGGGAGAGCAACAGGGAATTCCTTCGTCCCGAACCTGCTTTCCTGAGATTCCCCGAGCCGGTCCCAAGCCCGCAGCTAGCGGAACATTCTTCTTAGTTCTCCGGCGGCCGCGGACCGCTCGATTGATGTATTGATTGATCGATGGACGTTCCTCGATTGAATCGTTGATTGCTGGAAGATATTCTCAGGACATGAGCCCACGCTGTCTGCGAGGTGACTCTGGCGCTGGTAGATCGCGGTGGGATATGTCGTCATCATAGGAAGACAGTACCGGGTGAATAGCCTGACTGTTTAGTAAAACCGGGTGGCTTGTGAAATTGGAAACAGGTTATATATCGTTTGAATAGAGAACTGGAACTGGTGACTGACAATAGCAACGACAACAACAGCAGCAGCAACGAGGATTAGTCTCTACAGGCCGAACAGCTAAGGGCAGCCCGCTTTATACAATTTTCTTTCAGACCGGGGCGAGTAGATCATGGAATAGAAGCAGCAGCGTCAACCGTCGACGTCGTCGTCATCGTTGGACGACGTGCCGCGACAACAAGAGCTCTTCCGAATCCTCTTTACGATCGTTCTATGCGGCGCTATTTCACATACGACATGATTATCGATGACTGATCAAATGAAGAGCTTGATTGAATGCCAACTTGAAGAATATTCAGTCAGAAGGGCGTAAAGGATCATCAGCGACTCCATCAGCCGTGAGGACTTCTGTCAAGTCGACCAGAGTCCATCGGAGATTCTTCCAGCATTCTCCTTCGCACCATTCACAAGCGCTTCCTCAATACGAATCAGTTGCACTCAATTTCATGTCCAGGACGCTCGAGTCAAGAGACGACAATTTTGATCTGATCACGCGTCGGACTGAGGTAAGCGGCGAGGAAGGTCGACTGGGTTAGTCCGCTGTGATCCCGAAAGTGTTATGGAATTTTTGTCGGCCTAGCAAATATCATTGCAATCATCAGGACCCGGGAGGGGTTCATATATCTCAGTGAAAAAATGAAGCGAGAAGCCTGCATGTGAGTGACCCTTATATATATTCGAAAAACGACTCCACTCTTGACACCGGGTTCAGGACAGGCTCAATTCCTTTCGAGTCATCGTTCCTCATGCTTCGCTCTTCTTCCTCCGCCGACGGAGGAGAGGCGATTTTAATGACCACTGTACTTCCGAATACGGTGGTTGATGAATCTTATCCAGACGTCATTTTTAACAGTAGACGTCACATTGACGGTCATCGTGATAATCATCATCATCAGCCTCCTCCTTGCCACTATCGGCTTCGGCTTCACCACATTATCCGCGCATTCCGCTTTGCTTTTCCAGAGAAATAATCAGAGTTAGGATAGTAATCGAAATAAAAGATAGAAATCGAGGATTCTCCTTTACCTAAGATCATAGCGTTCATAGACGACAATCATGTTGCAGATGGTGGTGGTAGTGTTGTTGATGTTGTTTTCTGTTGTTGCCATTTTGCCATTGTCGGTGGTGATAATGGTGGTGGTCTCCTCGCGGAAGGATTATATTACCTAAACCTCCGTCCACCTCAGTACACAGGCATTCAGCAACTACAGTGTTGATATTGTCGTCATCTTCGTCGTCAACCTCAAAATCGGAATCCTCAGTAGAATCATCATCATCACCATCATCATCATCGCCGACAGCAGTAGAAGGAGCAGCAGCAGCTGCAGCGGTGGCGACAGTGGCAGCCAGCGACGGAGTCAACACCTGCACTGCAGCCATGCATCGGTGGAATCTCGCCGCGCCTTGAATTTGAGGTTCTCAGCCGAGAGGTTCTGAGTGCGCCGAAACGTTTGCTGCTACTGCCGCTGCTGATGCTACCGCGATTTACTTCGAAGTCATCATTGTGACGAACTCCTCGTAATTCACTTGACCGTCCCCGTCGATATCGGCTTCTCGAATCATCTCGTCGACCTCCTCGTCGGTGAGCTTCTCGCCCAGATTGGTCATAACGTGCCTAAGCTCGGCGGCCGAGATGAATCCGTTGCCGTCTTTGTCGAATACTCTGAATGCCTCCCGGATTTCCTCCTCGGAATCGGTATCCTTCATTTTACGCGCCATCATCGTCAGGAACTCGGGGAAATCTATCGTCCCGGAACCGTCGGCATCGACCTCGTTGATCATGTCCTGCAGCTCGGCCTCGGTGGGATTTTGGCCGAGCGACCGCATAACCGTGCCTAGTTCTTTCGTCGTAATGGTGCCATCACCGTCCTTGTCGAAGAGACTGAAAGCCTCTTTGAATTCGGCAATCTGTTCCTCGGTGAGTTGGTCGGCCATGCTGCTAACTCGCTTGCTTTTTCTGTAGGCGGCCGCTGTCTCGTGTCTCTCGCTGGCTGCTCAACGGGCCGACGACGACTTGCTGGCTGGCTGGTTGGCGACAACGACTACGTTCGTGGTAGGAGAATAATGGATTCGAGCTGCTGTCGTGGCCGCTGTTCGTTCGAACGAGGCTCACGACTTGAGGTTTGCGCGGTCGTACGTTGAACGCGGCAGCGATACCGACGACGACGTCGCTAGCGGGAAATTTCCGAGGGAATTTCCGAAGGAACGATGATCACTCGCTCGCGATGATCTTCACACTCGCAACCGACCCGACGATGACGACGAGGAGATTCTGACCACTTGCGTCGCTCGGTACGGCGACGGCTTGCACTGAACACACTCGAAACTCGGATAACAGACTTCCTCAGGCTGATTGAACAACAACGCACTTTGATGGAAGGCAAGCAGCCAACAGCAGAGCACTCTCAGCACTTCCGCAGTCACCCACAGCACGAAAATGGCTAAACAATGGTAGACGCCATCTTGCTCGCTCAGCTACGATGATTCTGATGGTTTCGCGCTTAGGCTCGACAGTGGCGCCACCCGGGCGTCTTCGTAAGAAACCGTCCGCGCGAAAATCTCTCCGACCAGCCGTCGATCCTTCAGTTTTCCCACGTTTCAGTCTTCGTGACTTCACCCTTCCCCGCCCTGAGAACTTGGCGAGAGACGCCAACCGTACGCGGAAGCGATTGTTGGATTCCGAAGCGTCAAAAATGTTGATTATCGAATGATGGATCCGCTCGATTAGGGCTCACAATTGTCCCGATATTGTCGAAAATGGCATCTCCCGATCGGCTCCCGGTGCTCTTTGGGGCCTGGAGACGGAGATGACCTGTTCAGACGACGATCGGTAGTCGACCTAAACGCGCGAGAACAGAACCTTTTAGTCTCATGCGCGCGAACACCCCCTGAGGCTGAGACAGTGCGTCAGTCGATGGATTCAGAATACTCCAGACAGCTGAAGGTGTTGCTTCCACTCCGTCCGGAAGACTTGATTCGAGAGGACGTTGGGAATGTCTCGGCGCTTCTTCGTCAACGCAACTTCCCCCCCCTTCCCGCCTTCGCAGTAGGATCGAGCCTCGGGCATTCGTCGTTCGGAGTCAACAGACGCACGACCGATGATCCATTCTTTGACCATTCGCTTTCTGAGATTCACGTGGACAAGGAAATCGTAAAACTTTCTAACCGGAAATTTCGTGACGACGAGATCGCAGAGAAGCCTTAAGCCTTGCATCAGACAAACGCATTTCCGCTCATTTTCGATGAAAGGTCTCTTCCTGGGAGCACAGAGGAATTCCCAGCAGGACTTCCCGGAGCGGGAGTAAGCCCTCAGCGGTCGTCAGAAATATGCGGAACCTGGTCCTATCCTCAACCGGATATATCGGGATAAGCCATGCAGTGGACAATCATTTCAATCCCAACAGAGGAACCATTTTCCCTCGAGGAGACCTGATGCCGCTTACAGTGGGCTAAGGGGATAGGGATCCAGTATGCTCCAGGGGAAAACTCCTCCCCGGATGATCGTTTCGAATTTCCGAAATATTGACTGGGTTCGTTGTCTCTCGTTGAGCCCACAACTCTCTCGCTGCATTTTCCCGACGCGAACTGCCGAGTGGAAGAGTCTCGCCTCCGCTGAAGTGATATTCTCATCGTCCGCTGAACGCCCATAAAATTTCATGCCGGGACCCCAGGCGCCCCATTTCTCAATCCCGACGAAACATGCGGAGCAATCATGGAGTTCACGAGCTCTATGGAGTAGGATATATGAGTTCTCTGTAGCCGAAGGGAGCATTGAGGGACTGGAACTTCGATGAACACGGGCGTCTAGCCAGAAAAAAAGCCAACACGAGCTCCGCGTGGAGATGCGCCTAAGGTAGATTGTACCGATGTCTTATTCGGTCGCTTCTACTCTCAACACCGCAGCCTCTGGTGTTATTACAGACGGCCCGATCTAGAGCTCATTCGAGGCACGTAGATATCGCTCGAGCTTTTCTTCAAAGCTGGTTCGCGAGCTGCGGAATTCTCTCGTTCGGTGAAGGATGAATGCGGCAGAGGCAAAGTGCCGTCGAAAGAGATCGCTGCCCACGATGATTCCTCAGTGAAACTCACAATCGGGTGGAATATATATAATAATCTCGACGGCCTTGAAACATTCCGAAGGTTGCCGTCATACTGTGCGACGATCAAAACAAGAAGAAATCTCGGAAGAATAGAGCTCACTCTCCACATATGTATCTATGTCATCGTAAAGACGAGCGGATGACGCTTGAACTGAAATTTCTGTTGACTGATTCACGTTTTTTCCTTTTCCCTGCAATGAAGTTCAGCTCACTACGCGATCGGGTCTGGTCACGGAAAGCTTCCTGTTGACTCATGGCAGCGGCGAAGCCCGATTCCATCGTATCAGACTTCAAACTCCATCGACTACCGCGGCACGTTTTCGACAGGGCTGCAAAACTTGGGATGCGCAGAAGTTGGTCAAGTCCCAGGATCTCCCTGCGAGTCGTTCTGTAGCGATTTGGTGGACCGTCTCGAACCTACGGGGGAACTTCGGAAAAATCGTGACGAGGCCATTCGCTCAGACGGCAGTTCAGCTTTCGGGAGTAAAGGTCAGTCCCAATACTTTTCATCTGATAGGTACCAAGAGGAGGTTTCGAACTAGCGTCATCCCCAACACTTATGTCCGAGACATGGCACAGCTTTTTAGTCGCCTAACACTACTTTTCCCCAAAGCCTGAGCGATCGGAAAATGGAACGGGCGGTTTTCTGTAAAAGTTGGCTGCTCAACTGTACCTCGATTTCTTTTTTCCCGACTCTGATCAATGGCTGCTTGTCTCGGGAGCTCCTATTGCTCGAGGAATTAGATTTGTTTTGGAGAAATTCGGAATTCTCTTCTGATTGGCCCAATCTTCGTCAGAAACATGCGGGGATTCAGCATTTGTCCGGACACATTGAGGTGATTTCCTTCAAGCAGTGCTGTCTTTACGTGGAGAAGTTCCTGAATGAAGTTTCCACTCTACTAGTTTATCTGAATGATTCACATCCATCCATCCACCTCCCCAAGGAGAAAAACCCTAGACCTTGAGCGACCTATTCATCCGCGCGACTGTTCGACGGGTGTTGTCCCCTGCAGGCACGCATAGTCACGTCAGATTATCGAAGGGTCAATGAACTCCGGATAAATTTTAGCAAAAAAAATGCCGAATATCAGTGGGGACGAACAAGCCGCCTTCGGTGGTCTTGCATTCAATTCGCAGTCTTTTAAAGTCAGCTTCGCAGCCGCACGCCTAGGGAACCGCCGCTGGAGGAGGGACGGAGAAGTTTGACAGCCGAGAAGTGACTTGGTTATTCGGAATGAGCGCCGGGAAAGAGTTCAAGAGCGGTATACCAACATTCCTCACCCGAACTATGCATCGATCCGACTGATGCTCCATGATCGAATCAGCTCCGCCTGCGATTATCGATCACAATCCTTGGAGGCAATCTCGGTTTCCACGCTGGAATGAGCGCCAAAACCTAGGGCTAAGTTTGAAGCCACGGAGCACTAAGCAAGCAAATCCCTAACGGCTCGTCTAAACCCTTTATCTGAGATGCGTGAGAATTATCGGGATGTTTTCTTCCTAGCGCGGATTTCCCCAAAATCGAGCAGTGAGCTCGTTCCGTAGACCGCATGCCCTGCCAGATCACGGTGTGACCTCGCTGCTTTTTTGATCTTTCTTCACTCGAAGTCGGATACAGTACCTACGTGACCTTGTGCTCTCTTTACGCTGGTTTGGAGCTCACCGGAGGGAATTCCATCCATGCAGGTCGGCTTATCGAATTTAGAGAAATCATCCCGTAGAGAGATTTTCCATATGTTTATTGTGATTGCGGCGCCGGCAAACTGAATCGAGCCGGTCTTGTCTGCTCCTGCGTTGTTCCCCGGTCTTCGAACTCTCGCGGTTCGGAGAGAAGATCCTGAAATCAAAGAACTCCTAACTTGTTACGATTCAGGCTCTCCAGTCGACAGCTGGATCCGAACAATAGTTGATGTTCGTCACTCATGGAAACTTTGCTCGCTCAACCGTTTCGATGACCATAGCATTCGTGTTCATCAAGGTCCTTGTACGGGTCGATCCTCTCGCCAGGCAGGCCCTGGAGACGATATTTGAGGGTGGCTCATGTCACCAGGCTCAGCCGAACGCCTCGAGAATCATGGTAGAGACACGCACCTGTTTTTTTCCGCCGGAATATTCTGTAGAACTCGGGCTCGATCCGGAAGAAGCCGGGATCCAGTAGCGCGGCGTCGAAGCAGCATTCCGCTTCTTGCTGATAAAATGCTGGAGGCGCTAAGAACCCGACCGTCTTGCCGTTCGGAGAGATTTTTCACGAGCTCTGTGTCCCGTTTCTCCCAGACCCGGTCTCCCAGGTCTTGACAATGGAGTTTCGAGGGGACTCATTCCCCAGTAAGGCTTGTCTCATGGTCGAGAACAATGCCACCGCTTGATTCATGGAGTTTGTTTTGGAGTGATCGCTCGCTCTGCCAGTCGACACAACGAAAGGCAGCGCTTTGCAGAGAGGCCACCAGGCTGCTAAAAGTACCTGTTTCTAGGCCGTACCAATCGACGAGCGTGTGTGTTGTTCTCTAAGTCAGTCAGTTGGCAAGTTGGGCGGGCAGGCCGGCCGACCAACAGTCAGGCAGTTAGTCTGCCAGCTATAGGCGAGCGACTGGGCATAGGGTCGCCCAACTCCAAAACAACTTTTGAACGTGCGGAATTCTGACTTTGGAGTGTGTTCCCGTGTGCCTCCAATGAAGAGCTCCAGCGGTTTGACGAGGATAGATGTGCTAGTGTGTTGTTCCGAGCGCTGTCATTCTCGTCTGTCAGAATGAGGACTTGCATACGACGCCACTCCGCCGGCCGAACATCCAGCTGTGAGTTCCGCGGGAGTTCCTCGCGCCGACTCGGAACTTTCCACAACTCAGTCCGGCTTGAATCTTTTTCTCGAGAATTCCTCGGATCGCTATTTACGAGACCTTCTCGATAGCAACCTTGGAACCGCACCATTCATGTGATTCTTCCGGAACAATTCTGTTTCTGAGGCAGTTTTTACCGTCGCGGAAAAAATAATTATCAATCCCGAGTTGGATTCTCCTAGCGTCCAACTTCTCGCCGTTATTAGCCTAAAAAGGGTTGCTGCTAGCCTCCCGTAATCAATGATTAGGATTAGTAATGACGTGACGCTATTCTGACAAGGGAGACGATCCTTAGATGACAATGTAGTCAACCATTGAAGGAACTCTGCGCATGCCAGCCATGCAGCGGTCTCGACTTGCTTGCAGGTCGAGTCTTCCAGTTCCATCTTGAGACAAGTCCATTCACAAGCATCTCCGGGTGCGTTCAGCACGACCCTTATCTTACAGTGGCACTCCTTCAAAAGGTTTGAAGAAGAGGTATGTCTTTCCAGGAGGCCGATTCACTTGTTCAATGCAGGGTGCACTTGCGATCACTTGAACCGAGATGTCTCTTGGATTCTTCCCTGTTCTCATCATTGTTTCTGCTTTCTCGATAGCTGCCGTCGGTAAGAGATCGACGGTCAGGGTACCTTCTTTCATCAGTGTTATGTTATAATTATCTGATTGGATGATCCTAGTCCAAGCCTTTGCCTATTATCTGCTTCGATTCCCCCTCGTTGAACTCGATCTCGCTCCCCGAAGAGTCCATCGCCGAGAGTGATCGCGATTATTTCTTCCAGGAGTTGGTGTCATAGCAGTGTTGTTTTGGCTGAAGAAACATCAGTTCCCAGAGACCATTCCCGCAACAATAACCATGTGCTCGAGCAATAACGCGAGCAGCCTTACATGGGACAGCATTGCTGTGTATCGATCGGAGGGTGCGTATAAACCAATTTTCCGCGTCGCAATGTCGCCGCGACCTATCAATATTTGTGGATGGAGCCGGACTAATTCTCATTGCCGCGACCTCGTCGATAATTATATGAGTAGGAAGTCTCTTCTAGGCGGCGAGTACGATAATCGAACGTTCGATCGTGGCGCCATTCAGGTTGCCACCACAATAGTCGAGGAGGACGATCATCACGTGTACTCCGAGATAAGGCCCAGGACGGCAAGTTCCGTGACAGCCACGAGTTTCAAAGATGGTAAACGCCTCTACTGTTATTCCAAGAGAACGCTCATCTAGTTCGACCCATGCTTTGAACCCGAATCGTGGACTCTCGTCTGCGATACAGGCGATAGACTCCCCGGGAACTCGCAGGGTTCCTCCTTAACGGCATTCATAGCATCTCCATCCTGATCCCTGATATAATGGTGTACTTGTGAAAGCCTTCCCGAGATTTTTGTGCACTTGGAATGTTCAAATCACACGAATTCCTCAGTCAATCCGGTGACGATCGATATTTCTGATGTACTATCCCCGAAAGACACCGTCAAGGTTTTCGAGAATGAAGGAGATCTCAGCATGGCCTCGCTAAGCACACTGGTATCAGGTATGCATGCGAAGGCATCCGAAAACGCGTATGACAGATCATTGAACATTCTCCCACGAATCCGATGATATAAAGCCTTTCATCTTCTTCAGATTGTGCCAGTGATGCCTCCGTAGTCTTATCGCCACTACGACTCACACTGCCCGCCACGAAGGAAGTCACCGAAGAACTCTTCATATAAACGCGCAATGTATCATCCAAATAAGGGAGCTGTCCATTGATTGTGCATAAGCTGATGACGTGGACTATTGTAAGAAAACATGTGCAATAAAATTATATCATCATATTGATACAATCACTCTGATAAGTCGAGCTTCTAGACAGTGATACAGGGGTTTGACATCGAAATTCTCAAAACTCACGACGGCAATCAGGAAACCTTTGGCATTCTCGCGAGTCCGGGAGGACGACCGTTTCCGTGTTCAGCCGAGCGTGCAGAGGTTGGTGACCGGTAGATGTCAAAGGTGGACAAGTCGTAAAACCAGAGAGCTCTCGGGAATGCTCATCCTTCGGCGAGGATCTCCCGGTTGACGCTCTCGAACTTGAGCGTCGCGTATCGTCATGTATGCATCTGTCATCAGCGAATCGAGCAAACCCTGCATTCTGACCGCGAGAGGACGCCCGTCTTTTTCTCAAAAACCCTCCCATTAAGTCGTCGTACTTCTGATTAGAGGTACCCGTCTCTACCCAGGAAGGCGACTCGCCAGCATCGTCGAGAGTCGAGAGATGCGACAGACTTCCCCGAGCTGTAAAATATTACATCGAAGCTCTCGTGTACGTCCGCCGTACTCTGTCCGTCTCGGAGGCCTAACGCTCGTCGCCCATGCAACTTGACTGTCTATACGGGAAAGCCAGGCCAGCCTCCTCTCGTCAGGGCAAGCCGCGGAGCTCCGCGAATCCTGCCATTCGGCTATGGCTGTACTGGAAGAGGGCAACGAACTCTGGGCTCGGAATATATTCCGAAGTCGGATCGTCTTACGCCTCAGGTGTTATATTCTGGGAATCTTTTCTAGTTTCCGCGCGTCAGGTGTGAAAATTTTCACCTGTCTGAATTGTCAACTTTTGCTCGGCCCTCGGAAGAATCTCCCCGAGCAGCAGATACCTTTGCCCGGAGACGGGGGGTCATTTCGACCGGGAAGATTCCATCCTGGAACCGCAGTGCCCGGATTGCCCTCTCGTCGAAATTGCTCCTCCAATCGGGAAGTTTCCCTCATTCAAGTCGGTAATTCTGAAGTTTGACCGGACGTGGAGCTTTCTCCGGGCAAGCGAGCTTAGTTGAACCTGAATACTACCTACTTTAATAACGGAATGCAGAAACTGGGAACGCTGCTTCCGAGTCGTTGGATTCCGGACGGACCAGCTTACGGCTCCGGCGTCCGGAGCCGTCAGCTGGGCTATCCGCTCGTCTCGAGAGAAGATGACTCAGAGTGCATAGTAGCTTTGCCGTTTCTTTTTTAGATGTTCTCGGCTCCGTCCACCTTCCCTCGCCGACCAACGGGGCCCGACATCTTTCAGACCAGCCTGGTCCGTAGTATGGAGCTTTGACCGGGAAAGAAGGAAAACCATTCTAGAACGGCTCGGCGCTGGTAGCAACGGGCCACTCCGTTGCTTGGGATGCGACAGGTGAAATCACTTTCTGGGACGCTCAAACTCTTCTGGACGGAACCCTTGGTTTGACGGACGGAGCGATGTATGAATCTATAGATTTCTCTGAAGTGAACAAGTTGCTCGATGCAACTAAGCATCGTCTGACGGACTTTCGGTACATGGTGGCCGGCATCGGAGTTGTTACTGCTGTTGTATTGAGTGAGTTTATCCATTTCTCTACTGATTCATCATGCTCTATAGTCGGTTATTCCGAGTTTTATACCGCTGACAGCGCTGTTTGTTCCGCCTCAATCGCTGCGATTGACAAGAAGCTCCCCGGAGCGCGTCCCGAGATCCGAGGAAGTTCTGCGTGTTGCTCCACCGCGGTTATTGAATCAGTCCCTCATTACAGTTTCATTCATCGTCGCACTTATCCGAACGAAATGCAACAAAAAACATAGGGGAGCCGAATCCAAAACGCTTTCGATCGAAAGCATAGGTGAGACATGGGAATAAGTGCGCTTACGCGAGCTGGGAGTGTTCACACAGAGGAAGTTCTTACTTTTTCGTCTGCATTCCAGATGCAACAGCCCCTCCGTGGGAAGGCTCATTGAAACGGAACCCGTAGCCTCGTCCTCGGAGAAGATAGGAATGTTGCTTTTCCGGAATCGTCACGCTCCGGAAGCAAGCCGCTCGATGTATCATCATTATCCGAGTGCAATCGATCTCATTAGCTATCCACAATGAATTGACGTTACCTAAGTCTTTGAGAGATAGGTCCCCGGGCGAATTTCTCGGAGTAAATCACTCAAGTGATGTGTATACACATGCTACCCGCAATTCGATGAATAAAACGAGCCTCACCAATAATCCATAAATTTTTTCGGTTCAGGCAGACTGCCGGGCCACACGGTTGCATCAGCTCAAAGAATCCGGACGCTTGCGGGTACGTGTCTCCCTCGGCGAAATTGGTGGATGGATCCATCCCTCGGTATTCCCCGAATGTCGTATGAGAGTATAGCCTGACTTGGCCAGGAATCCGCTGAAAAAGGAGGGGGAGAGCTGGGAGCAGTGGGACTCGGCGGAGGTACCAGGAGGGAAATCCTTGCCGACTTATTCCGCCCGAATGCCCAAAGAGAGATCGCGGAGCGTAAGATGTCACTCCAGATCCCAGCAACAATAATTTAGAGCTAGCCAATGTTCCTCCGCGAGAGAGCTAAGCACCATCGTCTCTTGGGTCTCATGTGGGAGACGCAGGCCAGGTAGCCGGTTCGTTACCGTGCGTGATTTAGATGAATCATTCCTTCAAAATGGGAACCGACACAATTTTTCGCGAGCGGGTAACACGTGGACGCTTCTGGGATGCAACCGAATAACAATTGTGACTCCCACGTCTCCGTCTTCTAAGAGCACCAGATTCACCCGGAAAGTAACAGGTGATCCTCGAATCGAGAGGAATGTAGGACGCAGTGTCTATTGTTCGCTGGCCGCGGGCTATTGGCTCGAGCGAGAAGTGACAGCGGGCGGTGGCTGCAGGGGTTCTATTTTAATTACGGAATAATCTCCCGAGCTCACCCTCAATCCCTCAGTTCACCTCGTGGCCATTTGTTCCCATATTGGATAAGTCCCCAGAGAAAGCTTAGTGGTCTTTGGTCCGCTCCGTCAGTCGCTCACTCAGTCGCTTGTAGCTCTTCTCATGATCAGCACAGCTCCGAACTCCCTCATAGATCCTCCGGCCAGGATCACCCTCCTCTATAAGATGTCGAAATATAAAAAAAGGGATACTCAAGACCAGCGGGTTCCCGAATCGACGGCTTCGGAGCAGAATTTTGCTGAACGAAAAGCCTCCGTATCCCAGACGAAGACCGCGATCTTTGAAAAGAAGATTGGGATTTCATCATTTCCGAACCCTCCGGCAAAATCGACTAGAAAGTCGATACGCATAGGCAAACAAAGAGTTCACATTGAGAACAGCGATTGCGCCGGAGGAATCTAGGATTCCAATGAGCAAGAGTCCACCACAAATCAAGAACAAGTCGCCCGTCTGACCATGGACAGCGGCTGACGCCGTTTTCACAGCGGATTCTACTCTGGATGGACTCGAACGGCATATGAAACCTCAGAGGGCTCCTGGCTGGCAGCTCTCGGGTTCCGAGAACCAAGCAGAGACAGAAAAGCATCCAAACCCGATCACCGCTACGGTATGACCAACTCAATGGATCACTGTTTTGGTACACTCAGGATCGGTCCCGTCAATGGAAATCGGAGAAAGAAAAATAACGAATCATTAGCGGAAAGTCGTTCAAGCGAATTCGCGAGGAAATCGCGATGGAGCTAAAGCTGTTCAAACATCGGAAAATCCTTCCAACGAAAGCTCCGACGCCATGATGGTCCCATGAATCGCGCTCCTTGTCATGGAACGATTTTCCGAAGTCTGCGGCTCCGAAATGCTCTGAGTCGAAATACTGATGCGGCGAATATCATGAGCGATGACTCCCATCATACGGTGTCTCTGGATCATCACCGTGGTTTCTCTGTCCCCACAGTCATCTGGCCGTAAAGTTCATCGGTGCTACCTCGCCCGGAAACTCAACGAAGTTGGTTGGAATCGATGGAATGTGAATAACTGTGAGTAGGAAGGACGGTTCCATCGCCCGGTCGACGATTTCTATCGGCCGGACTCGCTGTAGGTTTCCTGTCGAACTCATGGTCTCATCTCGCCCACAGTCCTTTGCGTGGCTGATTTCGTGAGCGGCAATGAAATGAACTTGTCGAAACCCCGCGCGAAAGGTCAGAGACTCGTCGGAATATTCCAGATCCCCAGTAAATTCTACTGTTTCGATAAGTTCGTGCCCGGGATGCGTAACGGGAAGTGCCACGCTCTTTGCTCGGGTTCGTGGGAATTCGAATACTCCAATATCCTAATATATGCCTATTACGAGATCATTTCTAAACACTCACTCTTTGTGAGTCCGGATTTGTCGAAATCTCCGAAGCGAGTCGGCAGAGAGACGTTTTCCCAACCTGATAATTATACTTGAATAATGCTCGACGGACGAGAATTCGTCAGTCTCCCTGTGCTGTCTTCGATGACGTATGTTGTCCGAAATAGTAATACATGAGGGAATTATAAAGATCACTTATTTCGATAGCTTTCCTGGACGAAGACCTCGATGACGACGTCATGTGCGCATCTTACATCCGTTGGCAATACGGATTTGAGTTTTGGTGAGCGTGGTGACTCTCGATAGAGATCAGATTTGCGGAAATCAAGTCCATCCATCATACCATCCTTCTATCGGCAGGCATGGATGGGAACGAGCATGTCAGCAGAAGGTTCTATCGAATCTTCTCGACGGTTGCGATGTGAAAGTTAAGCCGGGCCAATGGTCCTACTGGTGAACAGTGGACGAAGATTGGTCAGCAAGCTTCGGGCAAGATACAGAGGATACCCATCACCCCCGGATGGACCCGCTGGTTTGAATCACGATTCGGACGTAATCTCACCGCCATTGTAGGTAGATGAATCCCGTTCACTGAGATCGTCGAATAAAACGACTGCGACACATGGGCACTTGCGCTTTCCGGTGGGTCGAATACCGCCACAGAGAAGCCTTGTAACGGTAGTTCCCCCGATCTTCACAGGGGACTCAACCAAATAACAGTTAACAGTTTATCTTCCCCGAGCTGAGCAATACCCAATGAGATGCTGGAGCTCCGATTCCAGCATATGGCCCCACTTACATACGTCAACTCACCCATGCACCACCCCCCATAATTACCTTCGCCTCTTGCCATCGCAAGCCGCGTTGACTTCTTGGGCCTTCCATCATCGTGTCAGCGGCAGCCGGGGGTGGGCGCCCTCTACGCTTCGACTGCGAGAAATTTGTATTTGACACAATGTGCTTCATATTTCTCCCATCGGGCATGCCTCCTCCCACTTTTCCTGCGACCCTGATCTCGTTTTTCGTTCTCTCCATCGTTTGCTTTCTCCTGCCGACCGCGAGAGCAGATTCTATTCAGGACATTGTAGACCATTTCCTACCAGACGGAACAGACCGCGGATTTCCGAGAGCAGTACCGATTCGATCTCCGGCTCGACAATGTTAGCTACAATATTAGCTTACATCATTGGTGGTGATGGTTTAATCATTGAGAACAATAGGTAAAACAAGAGCCGCCAATGAAGTCGATGGAGCTTCCTTGAACGAGAGATCACGCTAAGGCTCAAGCGAGCTCATCTCAACTATACAGGCGTACGAATTTTCGGCGACTGCAGAGGCTGTCCAGGGTGGATTTTTGAATGACAAATTCAGGCGAAGCGAATTCATTATCGTTTTCTCATCCTCCTCTTCCGTGTCATCGTTTCACCGGGGAGCATGCGGGGCGAAACACTACAGAGCGGAGAGGAGCGTGGAGAGTCAGGGAGCCGATGGCGAATTCCTGAAGGGGAGGAATTCGAAATTGTTTTCGCTGCTCACCCACCGCTCTGGCTAATCTCCCGCGCTAAGAATTCCAGTGTTGCCATTGAGAGACAAGCTTCGTCAGCCATGGATGCAGGCGAGCCGCGGGCTATTCACCGAAGCGCCATTTCCGTCTTCGTCAGCTGCGCTCAATGTCCCATCTTGAAGACCGCTTTGCGCTCGAAGATTCTGATATCGGAAGGATTCCTCGTCTGTCTTGGAATTCCGCAAATAGTGCTCTCTCCTCGGAAGAACAGAATCTTCTCGCAATGGAGTTCTTGGTTCCCTCAAGGTTCCCGCTCTCCGAGCGTCTTTTTGCCCCTGCTGAGTCATCGCGCGAGGAAAAAGAGAGGCTCCCCCTGTTCAAATCTTAGTGTAACGTTTCACGGCTAATCATAGCTCGTTGGTCCTTCTCCCCACCGAAAGCTTCGTATTTCGCAGGCTTCATTCAGTCACAACTGACTTCCTGAGGTGTCGGGTTCGGAACCTACCCGCACGGGCAGACTTCCTCTGGTGGCTGCTCGCGATGAGGTATCCCGTTCATCGTCCCGAAATGTCGGAGGGGAGGATGTCCCCCACGGTCAGCGCTGTTCCCTTCTCTCGAGCGCAGCAACGGTTCCGGGTACCCTGGAATCTCGTGCCGGATAGTTTTTCAATAAAGTCTCCGGAGATTAACCTTGAAGTCTTGCGATCCGGACTTATTCCGGTCGTCTCAGGTCGGGATGAGATATTCGCAGTTTCGTGGCGGACAAGGACCGGGATTTCCGAATACTTTGGCGTTTAAACCGATATTGTTGCGGTCGTCGAAACACGAGGCCATGATACAGTTGAATGCGGCGAGGAGCAACCGCCCGCGGGCGCCCCGACCGGAAACAACGAAGACTTCCGGCTGAGGTTCGCCTGAGGGAGAACCTGATAAGGATGTTTGCCTAGCCTCTGCTGGTGTGGATGATGGGTGATAACACGGAGTGCGAGTGGCGTGAGCGAGCCGTGTACTCAGCAGCTCTCTATTGAATATGGATTCAAAAGCCGTGATGCTATGCCATTTCAATCCGGCGAGATTGCCCATTGACAGCTGAGTGAGCGATACATTCGGAATAATCGGCTATTCTCGAAGAGCCGGGTCTGCCAAAGCATGCGATTCCCGTCCCGACGAAGCGCTGGACGGCTTTTCGCGATTCCAGAGCAGACACATCCCTGAGTAACTCTCACCCGCTACCAAGACAAAAAAAAACTGATGATGATCCTCTTTCGCGGAATACGCAATCTGTCCTATTCTGCCCGATCACTCTTCGTGCCGGTCGTGCACTCGAGTTGAGGAGGATCCTACACATGTGATTCGTTTCGAGAATGGGATACGATCTCCCTTTTAATTCGAGAATTTCGGCCAGAGAATCTGCTACAAGCGAGCTTCATCCCCTATGAGCCACAATGTTGCTTTCTCGGCGAGGACCTGCCTGATTTCGCAGTTTTCTGGCTGTGGGGGCTTTAAGCTCCGGGTGCACCGAGGCGTTCAACATCTGCAGATGGATAGGTGAAGGATATGAACAGGGAGGGAAGTCTTGCTGAGGGCCACAGGCTTATTTCAAAGTTTCTGCTTTTGGAGTCGCACAACATCTTGCTTTTGCTCTCGAGGAGGCAAGCGATAATGTCGATGCACGGCGATTCTCCGACTTGGCTGTAGCTGCTTCCGAGTACCTAAATCCTACTCGATACTCTGGGACAGCGCGTTTTTTGTTCGTTTGTCGTGAAGTGATTTTCGAGCTTGCTCACCAGTCTTTTGGCCGGCCGGCCGGCTGGCCTGCCTGCTTGCCTGTCGATATTCCCATGCCTGATGGACACTAAGAGGAGTTCACACAATACTTCGAGGGCTTTTGTCGCGCGAGTACAAGTGACCATCTATCGGGTGACAAAAGCTACCTCGGAGCGCTTCAAATCAAGGGAGGCTAGCCGCAATCCGCGGGAGGAAGCATCTCGATACTCTCCTTCGCATCCTTGATTGGTTGCACATGGAGGGTGAATCGTCCAGGTTGAGGAGTCCTTCGATGAATTTATTTAGGCGGTTTCATATCGAACGAATCTCAGGTGGATTAGAAACCTCGTCTTTCATACGTTTCTTTTCGAGGCACTTCCTCCGATGGAGTTTCGCTGTGATGCTCGAAATCGCTGGTCTCACGTTCTGATCAGAACTCATTCGACACCAGCGATGATCAAAGGAACGAGTTATACAGGAATCGTCCTTAGGGAGTAGTTATCGCCTCGCCACGTGTTCTCCCCAGATCTGTGGTTCTCTGAGCCACCTTCGGCGGGACACAACATTCCGTCCAAGCTTTCTTCGCGTCGAGCCATGGATCCGAGTAAAATGTTAGTGATTACACATCCTGACACGCTTGAGTCTCGATTGGAACGAAGATCGCTCCATGCCACAAGAGCGGATGGTAGAAGAGGCCATAATGAGTGTCCACGATCATGACGTGATCGGAAGGGGGAAGACTCTGCCCCTATGACTCGTCAGCATGTGAAATGAGAACCCGAGAGGATGGTCGGTTCACACCGAATGACTGAACGCTCTCCGAATTGAAGGACGTCCACCCAACTCGGTGGACCTGACGTATCGGCTGCTCGGATGCCTCGGGATTAGCTTCCCCTTCTCCGGAATTATTGCCATCGTCGACCATCGTGATATCGCCTTGGTCGTCTGCGTGGCCTATTCCAACGAGCTCAATTTGTGCCGTCACCATAAAACCACCATCGGCTCAATTCCGTCGGACAGAATGTTCCAGCTCCTCATCGATATTCTTGGAGAATCCCACTTCTGTGTAGGCCCCTTTGTCCTCCCGCAGTCAATCCGGAAATAGGCCGCGATTCCAGACGGGAATCCACGTCCCGCTCTCGGCTTTGATGTTTTCCGCTTGGTCACGACTCGACACAGAGACGATGCACCACGACTCCGGCAGATGGAATTATATCGACTTTTTTTTAAAAGGGACTTGAATCCGGCGCTTGAGCCACCCCACCTCAACGAACTCTGCAAACTCGGCTGAAGTCAAGATGTTACCAGGGGGCGGAGCCATCCCGCCGCCGCTGTCATCGTAGAGGAAGGCTCTTTCCCAGTAGCTGGCTCCTGCAATTGGTGCCCTTTGCAGCCACCCGCTCGGCCCGCTTGCCACCCACTGCAACACTCGAATGCCGCCCCTTCGGTGCGCAGCTTGCCTCACCGGGAGTCTCTGAGAGACAGGACTGACTTTTACCTTAACGTTTGAATCATCTGCAGTTACTTGTGTTGCTCTGGCGAGACGTGCCGCTCGGAGCATTCGGCCGCGAGTGCGTCCGGGAGGATGTTCCAGCGACGTTTCCGCCCGACGCGGGCCATGTTGGAGGCGTGGCTTCGGGAGCCGGGGCCCGGGAAAATGATTATCTCGGAATTATTGCCCCAATCTCGTTAATTTGCGTCTTCAGTGAGTCGACTCGGTGAGGTTTCTGAGCAGAAATCGCTCCCGGAAGCGTGACGAGGAAAATCCGAGGCCACTTGTGGTTTTGCGGCACGAACTCCACCACACCGGCTTGGCGGAGCATCTCTGCGGAGCACGAGGCAACGATGAATCCATAATGTCGGACCGCTTGCAAGTTGGCTTGTAGTTCGTAGTTCGACCCCACTCACATGTCAATGAACGGGAATTTCCATCAGATCTGGTGAGTTCCGAAGAGTTTTGATCGAGTCGAGGATACGTGCAGAATATTCCGGAGTTTTGAGGTACCTGAACGTATTGGACTGCATCGGACTACATGTGAGCGTTCACAATTTAAGGTGATCGACAGACGTGTTTTCTACGATTCGGTTGGAGCGTCAGGAGATGCGGTCAGTGCTGCGGAGAAACTAAGAACTTGATGTAGTGAGGTACGAGTGCGGCGGAGGCAGAGGCGACGGTTTTACGAGGT